CTTAACCCTTTTCTCTCTGTTTCAGTCTCGGACACCCGCTTTGGTTTTTGAACATGTAAACAACACAGACTTTAAGGTACAGTGGGGGGGTGAATGTCTCATGTTTTCCATTTCCATGTGTTTCTGGGGAAGGACAGAAGAGTGGCTGTGCAGTGCCATCTGCAATGTAACACATCGGGCTGGTGATGACCAAGAGGGAGTCAGTGACAGGAACCAGGATGTACTGTCTGAGCTGGGATGTGTGATTTGTAAGGGTGAGGGTTAGGAACAGACTGATCAGTCAGGTGTGGGATCAGAGGAACTTGGGCAACTTTGTCCTGTGCCTTCAAGGGGTTTGGAGGAGCACAGCAGCAGAGCACAGGGCTGGCTTGTTGTGTGTTGGCAGGGATGGGGTGTTGAGCTGTTGAACACTGATGTGATGTGTTTGTGTCCCACAGCAATTGTACCAGACATTAACAGACTATGATATTCGATTCTACATGTATGAGATTTTGAAGGTAAGTTGGTGTTTTGTTGGTTGGTTTCTAGGATTTGCACTCAGCTAATCCCATAGAGGTGGTTGTTATCTCACTGATGGGGGGAAGGGGTACACTGGAGTAGCTTAAATCAGAAGTGCATGTAGGCTCTGAAAAGAGAAAATTGTAAGCTGTTGCTGGCTGCTTTTGTCCTCTAACGTAAAGTCAAATGTATTTGTCCATTCTTCTGGAACAAATATTCTCTCCTTGGGAGCCTGGAGAAGGGAGGTGTGTGTGATCAGTGCCCAGTGACTGTGCTCTTAGGGACTCTGAAATGCCATTTGTATGAGGAAGCACGTGAGGTGAAGTTAAAACACTTCTGTTGCTGGGACACCCTGTTGAGAGGGGCTCTAGAAATAGTTTTTGTGGTCCACAAGTCTATCCAGGCTATAACCCTATAGACAGTCTGGTTAGACTGGGTTTATGTAGAAATAGCTCTGAATCTGATTGAGTTTGAAAGGTCCTTATGACTCCAGCATCTCTTTCTTTGTGCTCTCCTCCAGGCTCTAGATTACTGCCATAGCATGGGAATCATGCACAGAGATGTCAAACCTCACAATGTCATGATTGACCACGAGCACAGAAAGGTAACGTGGGGTGGCTGCAGGGTGGGGAGAGGGCCTGCTCTTCTCTTGGCAAACTGGGATCCCTTTTGGGCACCTGCATAGTGGTGCTAGCAGATATCAGCAAGGGGGTGGAGAAAGGTAAACCAGAACTCTTAAGCATCCCTTGATCTTTGTTTTCTACCATTTCTAGCTTAGACTAATAGACTGGGGTTTGGCTGAATTCTACCACCCCGGCCAAGAGTACAATGTCAGAGTGGCTTCCAGATATTTCAAAGGACCTGAACTCCTTGTAGATTATCAGGTAAGAATTACTGGGATTTACCACTGGCTTTTAGATGGAAAGGCTGTGCCATTTCGAGGTAGCAAACCAGAAATTCGGGTTTCTGGAGAGCCGGAGCTAAGGACAGCCCATTCTAAAATGCATCACAGAAAGCAGGGGCTGTAAAGCTGCTGAGTGAAAGAAACTGTTGAGTAGTGTCAGGACCTGAGGAAGAGCTGCAGAACTGTCATCAGGGGTCTGGGAATACAAATGCTGAACATGTTTTCAGCAGGGCTGTGTTTGCAGTAAATCCAGGAAGGAAACAAAGCCCTTGTGGGAACAGCCAGTACTGCATGGACTAAATAAAGCTAAAACCATCCCCAGAGCTGATGGCAGTTTGCATTATGGGCTGGAAATAGAGTGATACTGGTGGCTTCCACTCCATGCTGGTTCTGAAGGAAGGCACTTACTCACCTGCCCATATACCTTGTGGAGTCCACTCCTTTTGGCACTCACTCCGCTGCTTCCCTTCTCAACACGTGTTTGGATCACTGGAGGGAGGGGGGACCCTGTTAGTATTGAGAGTCTGTTCTGCTTCATTCATGAGAAATGGAATTGTCCTTCTGGTTCTGTACAGATGTATGATTACAGTCTGGACATGTGGAGCTTGGGTTGCATGTTGGCTAGTATGATATTCCGAAAGGAGCCCTTTTTCCATGGCCATGACAACTATGATCAGGTGAGAGCTGGTCCTCTGCAGTCAGCACAATAAAGGTTTCCTCTTGCACTTCTGTCGAGGGATCTGAAGAAGAACTTAAGCATTTTCCTAATGGCTTCTTTGCTCAGTTTGAAGCCACGTTCCTTTTCTCAAGTGTGCAAGAGTATCTAACCAGTTACCCAGAAATAGATTTATACTTTGTGCTTTCGAGCTCCTCAGTATCTGGAAAAGTGCTATCACTATTAATGCTGGTATGTTCTGGTACACAGATTGAGCATTCCCACGGTTCTGTTACGTGTAAAGCCCCTGGCACTGTCCTTCCTCCCTCCCCTCTGTCTAGAAACTGTGCATTTGCTGCTGTTTTGTTTAGCTTCTGAAAACTTTGTGTTGCCTTTAGGCCAGAATTTTTATACTTAAGCCTTCAGCACGTGCTCTGCATCTGACTAGTGGGCAACCATGGAAAATCAGTGACCTTCTGTTCTCAAACCTCCACTCTGGAGCCCTCCAGGCTGGTGCTTCACCCTTCACGTGAAAGATACAGAGTTTCTGTTTTCATGACCAGTTATTCTTGCCTTCCCCCCCATCAGTTTTGAGTATTCTCCCGCTACCAGGGGAGTTGGTGTTGCAGGGTCTCGGGTGTTAGTGGTGTTGGGGTGTGCAGCTCCCTCCTGGCTCTCTGGGGTTACTAAGCTCCAACTGTGAGTGGAGGCATGTTCATGGTGACCCCATGGCTGCTGGTTCAGGCACTGAGACCACGCTCAGGCTCCCAAGGGAATGTGCTGCTGCCTCTTCACACAAGCTCTGGTATTGCCCATATCCCTCACGTCCGTGACTTTGGTCTCTGTTTGTTCCCAGCTGGTGAGGATAGCCAAGGTGCTGGGAACAGAAGATCTGTATGACTACATTGACAAGTACAACATTGAGCTGGATCCACGTTTCAATGACATCTTGGGCAGGTGAGCCAAGCTCCAGAGTAGCTCATGAGCTCTTGGCAGACCCAAAGAGTTACTGCTTTGTCAGCAGCCTCTGAAGTAAACTAAACCTTACGCTTTTGGGAGAAATCAAAGCCAAGGTTCCTGAGAACTGTCACTTTGTGCCTTTGATCCCTCTTGCCAGTGCTTCCCATGGTCTTTTATCTGGAAATGGGCTTGAAGAAAGGTTTTTAATGTCATCATCTAGGCAGTAAATGAACTGCTGGAGCATAAAGCATGAAGGGCAGGTCCTGTCTCCAGTGTTCTGGGGAGAAAACAAAACTGCTGTCAGAGTGCAAAAGATCAGGTGCTGCATAAGATGGCATTTGTGTCTTTACCCACTCATGTTTTATGTGACACACACCAAACTGCAAGGGACTGATGCTGAGGGAACAGGAGAGGAAGAGAGGGTGGATTTTAGGCCTGTAAATCCTGCGTGACCTTGAGTCCTTGTGCCGCCGTGTGGAGCCCTGGTGTACTGCTGCTGTGCACTGACACAGCTCAGCCAGGGCTGCCTCACCGGGCAGAGGCGGACGTCTGAGCAGTTCTTGCTCTTCAGAAAGGTGATTTTTGGCACTGCCGTCCTCTGTCCAGCCTGATTTGGGTCTCTCTTCCCTGCAGACACTCCCGTAAGCGATGGGAGCGCTTTGTTCACAGTGAGAACCAGCATCTGGTGAGTCCAGAAGCTCTGGATTTCTTAGACAAGCTGTTGCGATACGATCACCAGTCACGACTCACAGCGAGAGAAGCCATGGAACACCCCTACTTCTGTAAGTGTCCTGGGCTGTCCGACGAGTTCTGCCTCTGGGGAATCTCTGTCCCTGTACCTTGTGCAGATAAGAGCTAAGAACAGCAACGTAACGAGCCTGGAATTGCGCCGGAGCCAAGGCTGCCTCTGTGGTGGAGCAAATAGGCCACTGCCACCCACAGCAGCTGAGGAAATGGTGTTATACCCCATGTCAGGCCGGTGAATCAGCAGCCCTGTATTAAAGCAGCTATACCCAGGCTAACTTCAGCTGGTGGTGGGGTGCTTAAACCCAGAACACTCTGGTTTGTCAAGGACTGGAGCCTTTTAACTCCTTTTGTTCCTAAACATCCCTTATTGAATGGTATATTCAGGTCTTGGCTTTGCAAAACAAAACGTACTTTCACTACTAACTGCTTTTAACCACTTGCTGGTTTTCACAAATCCTGGTGTTTAGGGGGTTGAAGCAGCTGTAACAATGCTCAGGGTTTCTTGTTTCCTTGCTGCTGAACAGACTTGTGTCACCAACAACCAGCACAGCTCTGTGTTATGCCTGTGGCAGATGTTCAAGTAAAATGGTTTGCAAGTATGAGCCTTAGTAAAGCTGAAAGCTGTCAGAGTTGAACAAACAGCTAAATTAACCTGTGTCCCAACAGAGTCGTATCGAACTCCATGTGAGGAAGGGCAACATTTGGAATCCCCTTCTCTGATGCAGTAGGTCTGGGAGGCAGGAAAGTTGTCACTGCTCAGGTGGCAGTGTTATTTACCTGCAGCTGGAAATAAAGAATCACAGCATCCCAGGTTGGAAGGGACCTCAGGGATCAGTGATCCTTTCTAGGCAAAGGATGACCTGGACTGGATGTCCCAGCACCCTGTCCAGCTGAGCCCATCACCCCTTGACTTTTCTGTGTGACTCCTTGTCAACAGGGAGTCTCCATCTTTGTAGCCACCCTTTAAATACTGGAACAAAGAGTTAGTGCAGAAGTTGGGAACATCCTGCAGGAGACAACGAGCTCAATGACACAACAGCTCTTGGGCTGCTGAGGGATGTGTGTGCAGACATGGCATACAGTTGTAATTAGTGCTAATCTCTGCTTGCTACCCCCATTCTCTGGGTTTGCCTTTACGCACTGACACTGTTGCTTAGCCCAGAGAGATCAGCTTCACCTTAAATGTCCTTCAGCTTTTCCTCTTGAGCAGTCCTCCAAAGCACATCTTTAGGTGACTTCTCACTCATGATGTTTCCTTGGCACCTTCTTGGGCGCTTCCCGCTGGAGCTGGTGGAAACATCTGGTAGATGAGGGTTGATGTTACCTGCCGTGGGCAGCTCGGCTGAGCACTCAGTGTGCTTCAGCTGCTCTCTACTGGCACAGCACCTGAGGGGACTTTTCTCTTCCTAGATCCCATCGTGAAAGACCAGGCTCGGATGGGCTCCTCCAACATGCCGGGTGGCAGCACTCCCGTCAGCAGTGCGAGTATGATGTCAGGTTAGTTCTGCTGCTGACCCTTCTCGCTGTGTGGTGTCTTACAGCATTTACATGTGCTCTGAGCATCCAGGAGGGTGAGTTCTGCGGGTGGGGTGTTGGAGCATCTCCTGGGACCAGTGACAAGGGCACAGAGGGCTCGGAAGCAGAGGGTGGGAGAGCATGAGATGGCCTCAGTGCAGCCTGAGCTGCTCTTCTGCTCTCACTGGAAGAAGTGCTTTGCAGTTGGATGTTCTGAAGTCTGAATGTGCCCCTCAGCAACACTCGCAGTGCCCAAACCCCCACTCTTCAGAGGCTGCAGAGAACAGGGAGAGCTCTTCAATCTCAGCTTATTTTGGCAGCTCTGAAAACAGCAGCAAACTCGCCCTGCAGAGAGCTAGCACTTGGGTTATGAAGCTGAGCCCTGGGTAGTGCTGCACTGATGCCACTCTAATTCCTGCTTCCCTGTCTCTCTTCCAGGGATTTCCTCAGTGCCAACACCTTCACCCCTGGGACCTCTAGCAGGCTCGCCCGTCATCTCTGCCACCACCA